TCCTTATACACAAAGACAAGTGAAGATTAAATAGCGCGAACTGATGAATTTGTTTCTTGTTTATTTTTTTGTTTTACACACAACTTTTTCTCTACACTCCTCTACAACAGTGTAGTTGGTGTTTTAGTTAACATTGGTCGCCAGTGTTGTCATTCATGATTTTGTGAGTTACTAACAAATTATTGAGGTACGCCAGCATTAATGGGTTCCGTGACAGAAAAGACGCCGTCAACTTCGACCTGTATGCTGCATTTTGACAGAAAGCTGGCAATCCATTTGCATAACTCATCGCAGAGTCCATATGAGGGATGCTTAGACAGGAGTACCTTGTGCCAGACCCGATTAAATGCCTTAGCAACTTAGCACTTGCTCCCATTGGCCTCTGCGCATCGATGCATTAGGTAAAGGAGTAAGTCTCTAGCTGACCGACTACATCGAAACCCATACAGATTGTCTTTGTGTTGACTTGCGAGTTATAATGTGCTCCATTACATTGGAAAACAAAGAGGTAACAGCAATGGGTTAGCAGTTTGATGGGTCTGAATGGTTACCATTTTTTTTGGGACGGGTTACACTAAGGCTACTTTCAATGAAAAAGGGACTGTGCCAGTGGCCTAGGAGTTTGAGTAAAGGCGAACTAGTACTGGGGACAGCTCACGTTTTTAGTACGATAGCAGGGACTGCATCTGGCCCACTGGACTTCCGGATATTGAGGGAATGAAGAGTTCGCCGCATGGCGCTTTGACTAAAGCAATAGTGTTGGTGGTACGTATATTTCCCCCAACATTGAGAATCGAATTCGATGCAAAGAGTGTGTCCAAAAGATAGGCTTCAAAAACAAAAACCAAAACACATTGAATGCAGGCTCATGCGTAGCAACTCACAGACAGCATGTTACAATATTTAAATAACAAAGTTTCATCTCATTCTTATTGTTGTTTTACATTGGATGACATGTCTTATGTGCTTGTAGATTAGAAATCCTATTGTTTTGGCAGTCATTCTTTTCGAAATAATGCTAATTTGTTAAAGAAACGCTCTCAATCTAGTCACAGACACGTTCAAACTACGGCTAAGTATCTTTTACTAAAACGGATACAAGTGATAGTTTACAAATTAAATTAAAAGACTTCTATTTTTTATACACACGTTGGTATCTTTTTAGGGTTCCATGCCCAAAGGGTAATAATGGAACGCTATTGCTGTCACTCTGTAGTTTCTCTGTCTATCCGTATGTCACGGGTCTCTACATCGTAAACGGAATGAGTTACGATACTGAAATTATGGCCTATTAATCAGAACGCTTGCCCAAGCCGATTATGTAGTTAATTAAACAGCAAATACTGTAAACGCCGATTCATAATGTACTTTGAAAGTTATGACGAAAACAAACAGGTGATTTTTCCCTTCGCGGTCTGTTGTACGGAATCCTTCGTACGTGATACCGACTCGCACTTGGCCGGGGTTTTTCTTTTTATGTTATAGGGGGCATACGAGCAGACGGCTCACCTGATGGTAAGTGATCACCGTCGCCCATGGACACTTGCAACACCAGGAGTATCACAAATGCGATGCCGGCCTTTAAGGAAGGAGTACGCTCTTTTTTTGAAGGTTCTTGGGTCGTGTTGGTCCTGAAACACTGCTGGCGACAACATATTCCACAGTTTTGTCGTACGTGGTAAAAAATTTCGACAAAAACGCACGCTTGTGGATAGCCACGCATCAAGAAGATGGGGCTGAAATTTTTGTCGCGATGTACGATGGCGAAATGCAGCAGCTGGAATTAATCCGAACAATTCCTCAGAACACTCCCCGTGATAAATGCGATAGAAGATGCAGAGCGAAGCTACATCCCTACGCAAAGCCAAAGGATCAAGCTGATCGGAAAGGTCCTGGTCGTCGACGATTCGAGCCGCTCGGCGCTGGATGCGATCCAAAGGGAGAAGCTGGTACTGGGGTGCCCCCGCCTTAAGATGAGAGCAGTACTCCATGTGAGGCCGAACCTGTGCCTTATAAAGCTGCAGTCGGTGGGCCGGTGTGAAGTACACTCTCGATCTATTGAGCACACCAAGCTTCTTAGAGGCCAATTTGGCCTTGCCCTCTAAATGATCCCGAAACTGCACGTCACTCGATATGTCAACGCCAAGAATTCCAATACCAGCTGAGGCAGAAAAAGAGGAGATACGACAAATGGTATTTTTTTTGCGGTGAACGCGCATACTTGTGTCTTCGTAGGGTTAAATTGGACTAGATTAAGTCGGCCCCAATTCGTTACTCGGTTTAAAAGTTTCGACTTCAGACACAAGTTTGTTCCGGCACTCGATGACGTTTTCCCGAGAAATGATGGCGCGGCCGGTATATAGGGCATCACCCGTGCTGTCGTCTGCATAGCAATGAATGCCATCAATTTAAAGCATATCATTGATATGAAGAAGAAACAGTGTAGGCTATAGCACACAGCCTTGTGGAACACCAGCGTTTACGGGTTTGGAGTCCGAGCATGCACCGTCGACTGCTACCTTGATGCTCCTGTCACCAAGAAAGCTAGTGATCCAAACGCACAGGTTTTCAGGAAGCCCATAAGAAGGAAGCTTCGAAAGAAGCGCTTTGTGCCAAACCCGATCGAAGGCCTTCGCGATATCCAGACCGACCGCCAATGCTTCCCCCTTGGTCTCGATCGCCTTTGCCCAACGATGAGTCAGGTATACTAGTAGATCACCAGCCGAGCGACTCTGACGGAAACTGTACTGGTGGTCACTGATCAGCTGGTGGTCCTCTAGGTACCGCAGGAGCTGGCAATTTATAATGGACTCCATTATCTTGGAGAACAAGGAGGTGATGGCTATAGGCCTATAATTAGTAGGGAGTGAGCGGTCGCCTTTTTTAGGAATCGGGTGCACTAAAGCTGTCTTCGATGAGTTCGGAACGACACCTAAAGAGTAGGAGAGCTGGAAAAGACGCGTTAGTACCGGAGCTAACTCAGGAGCACACGTCTTCAGCACAATAGGTGAGATTCCATCAGGCCCGCTCGACTTGTGGATGACAAGGGAAAAGAGTGCTTTACGCACTAAGCTTTGTGTGAACCGGATCTCCGGCATAGAGCTCTCACACCGCGGGATGGTCGGCGGTATGTATCCCCTGTCATTTAGAGTCGAGTTAGACGCAAAGAGTGAGCATAAAAGATCCGCTTTCTCTTTTGCAGTATGGGCCATCGATTCGTCGCCATTGTGCACTGGTGGAAGGGATGGCTTACAGAAATTTCCATCAACAGCCTTGGCAAGAGACCAAAACGCGCGTGTTCCAGAGGGAAGTTTTATTAATCTCTTGCCAATGCTGCTAATGTGCTCCGACTTCGCTCTGGCAATTACTCTTTTGCAGGATCTGGAGGCCAAGTTATACTTCTTTTTGAGATCGCTAGTGTTGTTATCCCCGACCGCCGCTGCGTTTGCCCAGGCCTGATTACACATCTGTTTTTGGTGAGATGCCAGTTTACAGTAGTGACCAAACCAAGGCTGGGATTTGCCACCAATGGGAACCACAGAGGAAGGAACAAAAAGTTCCATACCCTGAAGGACAACATCGGCGACAGAATCGGCAGCGACGTTGGGATCATTCTGCGAGAAGCAAACCTGGCCCCAAGGGTAGGATGAAAAGAAAGTGCGCATCCCATCCCAGTCTGCTGACTTATAGTGCCACACACGACGACAGCCAGCAAATTGCGGCCGCGGTGAGTAAGTGAGTGGCACCATACTCCGGATTAGACAATGGTCCGAGGAGCCAAGAGGGGCATCTATGGACACTTTGTAATTATCCGGATGTGAAGTCAGCAGAAGGTCCAACAGTGAAGGTGTATGGTCTTCGACATCTAGGATTCGCGTAGGCGAGGTGACCAGTTGTGTCAGACCACAGGCCAAGGCGAAGTCGTGAGCAGATCTGCCTGCATGATCGGTAGTGGGCGATCCAAGCCATTCGGAGTGGTGGGCATTGAAATCGCCAAGGATCACAATTTCAGATGATGGGATCTGCTGAAGCACGGAGTCTGTAGCCACCTGGACGTGATCATAGAGTCGGTCAATTTCGGTATTTCCGCTATGGGACCTGTAGAGGCAGGCGTAGACGCGGGGATGGTCATCGACGTCTACACGCAACCATAAGATGGAGAGGTCCCTACCTTCAAAGTTGCTGAGGCGACGGAAACTGATACCCTCTCCAACGTACACACAAACCCCAGCCCGTGGTACAAAGGAATGTTCCAAAGTATGCCCAGGGTACTGGAGGTAGGAGTTGTCGGCTGGAGAGGATATCTGCGTCACAGTCAAAAAAAGCAAGGCCGGCTGCACTGTCTGAAGGTGGTAGTGAACAGCATTAAGGTTGGAGTGTAAGCCCCTGATGTTGCAGAAATCCACGTTAAACATGGCAGGGGGTGTCGTATGACGCTTGCTCTGGCCTCGAGCAGTTTCAGTAATGAGTGTGGTTTCGCCCTCCCCAGAATACGAAGGGCAGCCTCGACGTCCACGTCCAGAAGGAGACAGTTCTGGGCATGGACGTCTAGAGGGGATCCTCCAGCGTGAAAACAGCTGGTACCCCCCTGAGGTATTATCCTATTTAACTGCGCCATCATGAGGAAAGGGGGGGGGGGGGGACTGGGCCTCCGGTAGCCTCACTCACTCGGCGAAACACAGCACAAAGTACTGCTTCTCGCCGGTATTCTGTGAGGTCCTGGTATTCCTCCGGTCGAGCCGGCCCATTCATGCAGTAGCCTAAGCTACTAATGGGCCGGCTGATTTTCGTCACAACTTACAACTTGTTGGTTAAATACAGCTTTTAGAGCACCATATACTAACTAGTTTAGTTTTGAGAATCACCACCTATCTAAAATGGTCTCAAAATGACGGACCCTATTTCCTTGTTATTGAAAATAAAAATTATATGTCCTACTCAACGCGTTCTAGAGAATGATGTGTCACACGCTGAATTAAAGATGAAAAAAAAATACTTACCTTGTAAGGAGAGTGGTGGAGGATAGTGCAGGGATGTGAAGGCTGCGTTGTCCCTTTGGGCCCCGTCGCCCCCAGCGATAATACCTATGAACAAGTTTAGTACAGTGTATCTATTTTATATATATATTTTTTTATTCAATTTATGTTTATGTTGTGCGTGTTTACAGTGTAATAAGTGTTGATTTTTATAGAGTGTTTGTAATGTGTTACGATTAATACCACTATAGCTATTATAAGATTGCAAGCGGACGCGAAAAACGTGGTGCTGCCCGCCAATAGTTATTTATGCAACTGTTGTATAATGACGGGTATGACTAAAGGAATGTGGGTTTATCACAAATGTGTTTTAATACCTAATTATAAGTAGTTGCACACAAGATTTTATCTACACCCATGATAACATGAATCCTCCATAAAAGATTTTGATTCCGTGGAGCGTTCTAAGAACTTAAGTATCATGAAAAGGTTCAACGCTGTGGTAGTGAAACACACGTCAATGGCAATGTTCTTTTTTTTTTAATTTATACAAATACATGCATCGAGCAGTAAAGTGTCTGTCTGATGAGTAAACCCCTTGGCAGGCGGGAAAGGATCAAAACAGCGAAGGAGTGTTATTATGAAATTGAGTACATCATTATCCATAGGATATTGGATGTTTTAATTTAGCTATTCTAATTGGTTTATTATCTTTTATAGAGGATGTAAAGCATGGATGTATATAAAAATATTTAAAATATCCTAAAACCCGACTGCATCGCTATCCACGGGTAGAGCTGATGTAAGTAAGTAAAGTTCTCAAGTTTTCTGCGTAATTTTCTTATTTATTTTGTAAGACGTTTATTTCCTAAAGAGTTAACTCTTTAGATACCAACTTACAATTGTTGTTAAAAAAAATGTTTCTTTGTATAACAGATCGAAAGTTAATAAATTAAAGGAAACAATATCAAATCCGTGCAACCTTTTCCGTCTTTATGATTAATGTTAATCAGCCAGGTAAATATTACTGTTTGATATCATCAGATGACGCATGGACTGTATATTCACTTGAAATATGGGTATATTATGTTTATGATTAGTTTCTGCAATCTACACAAAAATTGAGCCTATTCGGAATTAGGGAGGAATAATAAATTATAACAATTTCATACACGGCATCTGATCTGACACACTATTTAATATCGTGCGATCTAGCATAAACCTATTTCTATATTTTTCTTTGTAATAGTAGCAACTAGAGATGTGTATTTAGATTATTTCCGCATAATCTGTACATACATGGTGTAATCGGTATACATACATGGTGATCTGCTTTGGTGGCTAGAGTTTTATCTTTGAGAGCGCAGACAGACTGTCGTTATTAAGGGTTTTTGTTTATCTTTCATTCTTGTAACATCTGGTGTTCCCCATCACACCTTGGACCTTTAATTTATTTATCTACGATATCAATTCAATGTTTAATTATTCGTGTTTCATACTATACGCGGATATGATGACATAAACATTTATAAAACTACTTATTTAATATTATTCAGACTGTTTTCCTCTACAACAAGATTTAAATAATTTGATTTCTTATTGCAATAATAACTGTTTGTATTTGAACGTTAATAAATGTTTTATTAAAAGTTTTACAAGAACTATGTTGGGAAACATTCCAAACCCGAATAAATTACTACGCCTACTACAAATAAATTGGTGTATTGTTATGTTTCAATACACTTATTGCACTTTACAAATGACTTGGTTTAACTTGTAAAAGTTAATAAAAACTCAATACCGTACGTAAACTCTTAGAGAGTATCATGTTTTACGGTTTCTTTTTTCGTTAATAAAGATTTATCTTATTATTATTTATTTAAATATTACAATAGATTCCTAACGGTCCATATTCGTGTGTACAACGCCTCTGCATTGCATTAGTGTTCCGGCACTCCAAAATTTAAATATTAATAAATTAAAAGTTGCTCGTACCACTGTTATTATAGGTTGTGCAGTTGTTAAGTAGGAAGGGGAACCTGGGGAACGTATCATAAAAATACTAAATTAAGAACACTTAGGTCTCCTAACTTGGTGTATTTGAATTCAGAAAAATATAAAATACAAATTAAATATAATCAACCAATCAAGTCTGTGCCTGAATTCAATCTCTCTGGAATCTTTGATGTGAGACAGAAGGTTCTCATCTTCGAATCTTTAAAATAATGAAATTTACTTTTAATACAACTGTCAGCCGTAGGCATTACATAAGCTAAGAGTTTATACAAGCAAGGAGGCCGTAACGCTACGGGCGTTACAGTACCAGTACCAACATCTTGTTATTCTTGAATTTTGTTATTTTGAGACTTATTTTAGAGGTAATATGATTAAAGACTCAACCATATTCATTTTGAATAAAGAGTGATCCTTAACAAATTTCTATTTTTACCCGACTGCCAAAGAGGGAGGGTAATGTTTAGGGAGTGTATGTAAGTATGTATGTATGTCTGTTCCTTTGTGACCTCCTGTAGCCTAAACGGCTTGATGGATTTTGATGTATGAGGTATCGTTAGATTTGTCTTGATTACGGGAGTGTCATAGGATACATTTTATCCTAAAAGTCCCACGGGATAAAGACATAATAATATTTTTTCTAAATTTCCCTTTAAAAAAATATGTATGCGGTATCATTAGATTCATTTTTAGACTGTCTTAAGGTACTTAATAATTCCCGCGATATTAATTCCCTTACTGAAGTAACAAGACTACGGTATATACCGTCTTAAAATACTAACTAACTAAAAAGTGTGAAATAAAAAAGGTAAATTTAAAAAATCAAAAAACCCGACTGCTTAATTATACTTCAAATAAAAACTGAAAAGAAAAAAACAAGTCCAGTAGTCTATAATTCTGTTAATAAGGAACAAAGCTACTTTAACAGTCGGGACCCACTGTTGAAAAATATTATGTATTCTTGAATATCTAATGGGTCCCGACTGTTAAAGTAGCTTTGTTCCTTATTAACAGAATTATAGACTACTGGACTTGTTTTTTACCCGACTGCCAAAGAGGGAGGGTAATGTTGAGGGAGTGTATGTAAGTATGTATGTATGTCTGTTCCTTTGTGACCTCCTGTAGCCTAAACGGCTTGATGGATTTTGATGTATGAGGTATCGTTAGATTTGTCTTGATTACGGGAGTGTCATAGGATACATTTTATCCTAAAAGTCCCACGGGATAAAGACATAATAATATTTTTTCTAAATTTCCCTTTAAAAAAATATGTATGCGGTATCATTAGATTCATTTTTAGACTGTCTTAAGGTACTTAATAATTCCCGCGATATTAATTCCCTTACTGAAGTAACAAGACTACGGTATATACCGTCTTAAAATACTAACTAACTAAAAAGTGTGAAATAAAAAAGGTAAATTTAAAAAATCAAAAAACCCGACTGCTTAATTATACTTCAAATAAAAACTGAAAAGAAAAAAACAAGTCCAGTAGTCTATAATTCTGTTAATAAGGAACAAAGCTACTTTAACAGTCGGGACCCATTAGATATTCAAGAATACATAATATTTTTCAACAGTGGGTCCCGACTGTTAAAGTAGCTTTGTTCCTTATTAACAGAATTATAGACTACTGGACTTGTTTTTTTCTTTTCAGTTTTTATTTGAAGTATAATTAAGCAGTCGGGTTTTTTGATTTTTTAAATTTACCTTTTTTATTATCCATACTTATTTCATATACCTATTGGAAATCAAACTGAACTGATACCTTGTACAGGTTAGAAACAGGCAAAATTCAGCGATTACGAATGTTAGTCACTACTAGTTTTGTCTATGTAGAAAACGAGAGTTAATCAGACGAATTGAATGAATTAATTATAAAATCACGTGGAAAGGTCAGGGAGATGCGAATGAACTACATTAATCATTCCTCACTCATCACTAACACCGACTGCGTATGTTGTAATATTTCATAAGGTACATATTGGGTTATTAGTGTGGTGGTGTCCCACACAAAGAAAACTCAGTTATCGAATACTGTATTTCATTGAAACAGACTCATTAGTAATAAGTTTCTATTAAAAGCCTTTAACGGATTCTATAAAAGTATTGTCATTTCTTTTCTTCGATTGCGATCATAACTTTTTACACATAAGGCAAAAATAAAAACGGTTAGTATTCCTTTTCGGAATATTTTATACTGTCATATCAGGCAAAGAGATATATGTTTACCTCCTTGCCGATGGCGGGTAACCCGTTGAGGCCATTACAGGGTGGTTCAAGGCGTACGACGCTCTTGCGGGAGCCGCGGAAACCGGTGTCGCGCACACGAACCGAGGAGCGCCAGGTGGACGGCGCATCGTCGCGGGAGCCGCGCGCGGAGGCGGCGCGCCGCGAGGTGGTGAGCGCGGCGCCGGATCCCAGCCCGGACCCGCCCGGCGGCGTCACGATCAGCGGCATTTCGGGTGGCCCGCGCTCCTCCATGCCGCTGCCGTGCCAACGCTCTCACCGGAACCCGCCGTGCTCCGACGCCTCCAGGTGCTCACATTCCAGCACGGCCCTCTCGAACGCCGACGCTGACTCCAGCAAAGCTATTGCCGTGTTTTGCATAGATGCTTGATATTCGTTCACCGACAATTTAAAAATTCCGCACTACTGAGACGGATTTTATGTTTTCTAATGGATTGCGAGCGTATTCTACGAGAAAATTATTCGTATGAGTACTATGGTATGGTTTAATTTACATTCCATGATGCCATAAACAGTTTCGTTTGGAGAGAACTCATTAATCGTTTTAATTGATGAAAATCAAGAAACTAGAGGTCTGATTAAAAACATTTAGTTTTATCCAATGAGCTTACTGGTGCCACCGTGAATTCACAAACAGAGCTCTATTCTAACAGTATGAAAGACGGTACGCGAACATTTTCGCATTGACATTTAACGCTAGTGAGGGGTTTCCGAAAACGTCCACCAAGACATTCATTGTAGTTCAAAACACAGCGAAGAACCGGCATAGAACTCGAGGCTGAAAGCGAACGAGGCCGTGCCTTATTTAAGACAGTATGTCAATGGGCGGCTGGATCTTTTCATCT